TGTCCATCACTGAGTCCAGTCTGGGACTTCCCCAGTGCCTGCTGGTGACGGGACTGTCATCCTGGGAGCTTGATACGGTTTTGTATATATGTTGTATCTATTTCATTATTTTCTTCTCTTTTATTTTAATATTATTTTTGATTAAAGTAGTTTAGTTAATTCTAAACTTTTCAATCTCCTTATCTCTTCCTCTCCTCTTTCGGGGGGGGGGGAAGGGCCATCTGTTGGTTCGGTTGCGGTGATTTCAGCTGAAACCACGACAGTATCTTAGAGCACAGCACACTTTCTCTGGTCCACAGTCCAAAGGTTCATTGATTTTATTGAATAAGCTAAATAAGCACTACCATTACCTTTGAGCTTTCTTACACCTGACCTACAGTTTTATCAATGAAAAGGTTTTAAAACCTTTTAAAATATCTACCTGGATCTGCTACAAAGACAGGACGAGGGGCAATAGGCACAAGGTGGAAAATAGGAGGTTCCACTCAAATATGAGAAAAAAACTTTTTCACGGTGAGGGTGGCAGAGCCCTGGGACAGGCTGCCCAGGGAGGGTGTGGAGTCCCCTTCCCTGGAGATCTTCAAGCCCCATGTGGATGCTCCTGAGTAACATGGTCTAGCTCTAGGCAATCCTGCTTCAGCAGGGGAGTTGGACTAGATGATCTCTATGGTCCCTTCCAACTCTAAACATTCAGTGAAATTCAGTGAAATTGAAATCAGTGGGGTATCCTTATAGATATGATTGCAGTGTGACTAATTAAATAAACACAAAGACAGTTTATGTCAGGCAAACATACAGCATTTCTAAAGCTCCAGGAAGCTAAATATATGATGTTTTTACTTGTTTCAGAATTGCTCTAAATGCCATGGATTGAAGCCTCATTGTAAGGACTTCTCCAGCTTTGCCAAATCTGAAACTCTGTTTGAGAAAAAAAAAAAAGCTTTTTTGTTACCCAGTCACAGTTTTTGTCTTTTTCAGATAAATAGTTAAGTGACTATCTACATATAATATTAAAAAGAAAATTACTAAGTAAAAAATATACTAGCTGTAACTGAGGTAATAGACCTTTTTAAAATCTAAATTTAGCACGTGTAAGGGCAGAGCAAACAGTGAGACATTGTTTTTTAATAAACAAGTGTATGCCATGTAATAGTCTTCAGGGTCCACCAAACAATTTTTTAATTGCAGGATTTTTTTTTTATTACCCCCGATCTCAACCCGAAACTGGTGACTTCAAAGAAAGAGGCTGGGTGCCTCGAGCACTCACAAGTAAGAACCCTCTACTCATTTTAGGCACTGTACAAATACCAGGGATTTTCCCCTCTCTCTCTCAGAGCTTACAATCAAAAATCTGTTGTGCTACTGGTTATTTTCTAGAGGAGACCTCTGAACCTGCAGAGATGGTCACTGACCACAGCACAGTTCAGTCTGCACAGAGAGGTACTGGTGGCCCTGTCACTCCTGGGCCAGGGCACGCCGTGCCAGACTAGGACAGGAATGACATGAGAGAGACGCTGTAGCCTGAGCTGCATCAGAAGAAGCATGGCCAGGAGGTCAAGTGGAGTAGAGTCCCCCTCTACTCCACTCTGGTGAGACCCCACCTGCAGTAGGCCATCCAGCTCTTGGTCCCCAGCATAAGAAGAACATGCACCTGTTATAGAGAGCCCAGAGGAGGGCCATGAAGATGGTCAGAGGGCTGGAGCACCTCTCCTATGAAGACAGGCTGAGAGAGCTGGGGTTGTTCAGCCTGGAGAAGAGAAGGCCTTGGAGAGACCTTATAGCAGCCTCCCAGTAGCTAAAGGGGGCCTACAGGAGAGATGGGGAGGGACTTTTTATGGGGGAGTGTATGACGGCACGGGGGGGTAGCAGTTTTAAACTAAAAGAGGGTGGATTTAGATTAGATACTAAGACAAAGTTCTTTACCGTGAAGGTGATGAAGCACTGGAACAGGTTGTCCAGAGAAGCTGTGGCTGCCCCATCCCTGGAGGGGTTCAAGGCCAGGTTGGATAGGACTTCGAGTAAACTGGTCTAGTGGAAGGTGTCTCTGCCCAGGGCAGGGGGGTTGGAACTCAGACCTTTAAAGTCCCTTCCAACCCAAACCATTCTATGAGGACTTTGAGTAAACTGCTCTAGTGGAAGGTGTCTCTGCCCAGGGCAGGGGGGTTGGAACTCAGACCTTTAAAGTCCCTTCCAACCCAAACCATTCTATGATTCTGTATTTTCCTGCACTTTTAAAGTATGATCAATTCAAAGTAAAACCAACAACAATTCCTGCTAACCAAATGAAAGGTTGATAAGAATTGAGTAACTTTACAAAGCCCAATCAGGTGTTTAATTTCGTTAAACATTCAGTGAAAATCTTGCCAAACACAGTAATACTTATACTGTGGAGTGGGGAGGACGGGTGGGACTTTTAGCCACAGAGATTTTTTTCCTAGTTTTTTGTCACGTTAAACTGTTCTGAAAACATACAGGAGAGTTAACTAAGGAAACTGGAGAGAGCACCTTTAAACACTCTTTAAAATGAATCAGAAAGTCAATAAAGAGGACTTTCAACATGAGGAAGCCATGAAGAATAGAAGCAAGATTTCCAGCTTCTTCAAAGTTAAGGCCTGAGAAAAACTGCTTGAGAAATCTGGGAGACAGCTTGAGAGATGATAAAAACATTCAAGATAGATTATGTCTGAATGACAAAACTTCAGGAGCCTGAGTCAATAAGATGCTGGTGATGTGCAAAAAGTGCTTGCATGAAAGAGCTTGAGTTTTCACAATGAAGATGGGAGGCACTGGAGCAAGTGACTTGAGGAGGGTGTGGAGTCTCCATCCTTGGAGGTACTCCAAACCCAACAGGACATGGCCACGAGCAACCCACTCAGACCTGAGTCTGCCCTGTGTCCAGCAGGGGCTGAACTGCAGGAGCCACCAAGATCCCTCCAACCTCAGCTATTTTATAATTCTATGATTTGGAAAAGTAGTCTGAGAAGAGATCAGCTCCAGAACTTATTTTCTTATTTTTTTTTTTTTTCCCCAATCTTCATTTTTACCTCTTCATATATTTTGTTTTTAATGTCTTAATTTTAAAGAAACTTTCTTACTTAGAATCCCTGTAATTCACAACTTTGAATTAAACTTGCATATTTTACTTACTATGAAGTTTGGCATAAAAAGCTTCAATGAAGGTTTTTTTTTCTTTTCACCTAGAACTTTTCCACTGAGAATACATTGCAAAACTGGAGGAGCCTTTGGGAGCAATTCAATCCAGTTAAGTCAATAGCACACAATACGATAAAAGCTATGGAAAACCTTTTGTGAAAAAGCTACCTGCATATTAACAAACTTGTAGTAAATTCCATTCTGTTCTATTAATTCATTATGAGTCCCTTGTTCTGTGATAACACCATTTTCAAGATCCACATTTCAAACCATTGAGAAAAAATGAGTGATAACAAGTGTAGTGCATCGTTTCCTGACCAGGAAACAGCATAACAATGGCTCCACTTTAGTATTGACAGGTACAGAAAATATTTCCTGTCTTTACATATTAGAGTTGGACGAAATATTTTAACTGAAAAATTTTCCTTGGAAAAGTTGCTCTAGTAAAGACCAAAATTGTCAACTGAGAAATTTTGAATTTCACATTTTTTTTCAGTTTCTCCTAGGTAAACTAAAGCAAAAATTTAACTTAAATTGAATACCACAAAACATACATTATTTGAAAATATAAATTAAGGTACTCTGTTTTTTTCATGGCAGACTAATACTTTCTAAACATAAATATCTAAAGGTTCTTTTTTTGAATTTGCCCCTTCAATATTTTCCCAGTTTATTTATCTGATTTCCACTGAAAAAAATACTATCTGCCATTAATCATGTCAGTGACAATTCTATTTCAGAGCATTTCACAAATATTAAAAAATAATCACTGAGCAATTTTACTGGCTCTAAATTACTCACTTGATTTTGCTGAAAATATTTATCTAAAATAGTATTTAATATCATACTTCTATTACTTTTTTTCCCATCTTTTTAATTATTTATGACTAATAAATCCTAGAAGTATGTAGTTTGACATGACAAAGTTGTTCTTACAGGCACATTGTGACAGTGTGCGCTGGGATAAATTAGTATTAATATCTAACGACCCAAATAGTGAATCCAAGCCTTATATAATTCAGTTTAAAAATCTTAACACTTTGAACTGTTAGAATAATGGCTTAATAAGTGTTTTGCAATTAAGAAATAAAAGAGAAAACTGCAATGCGTGGGATATTCTCAATGAATTTCCAGCTAAACCTGATATCCTGATACTGTCACGTGGTTTTAAGAACTGGAAATAACAGCCATTCAAGCCATCCTATGAACCATGATCTGCATTTTCTGAATGCCCCAGCCACATGAACAGTGAACAGAGATTCAGTAGAGGTTTGGCAAAGCCTGCAGGGAAAAGTGGTCTACTCTAGATCTGATGTAAACCTCGTATAGAGGTTCATGCCCAGCACAGCGAGGGAGAAGTGGGTAAGAGGAGGACAGATGAAGGCTTGGCACACAACAGCTGAGCTTCCTCTTGCTTAACATCAGCAATCAGAGCTAGTCTAGTCTGAGCAAGTCTTTCTGGCACGCTCTGCCAGAAACATCAACAGGGAGGTTCATCTCACCACATGACATATTTTAAAGGTAGGTGGGGAAGGTGAGTAACTTGTTTAAACTAGCCAGGTTCTATATTGCAGCAGTGAGTTGGGATCCCACCAGATACGTCTCCATCAGCAGCTCTCTGGTCTTTGGGATTCACTTTACAGGGGGTGGGTTGGGAGGAAGAGCCCTGTGTGCCAGTGAGCGTGGTTTCACACCTCAGTAGTGTCAATTATCAAGGATTAGGAGCAGTGGACAGAGTCTAACCCTTGCTGCGATTAGAGGCGATTAGGTGTCCAAGTAAATAATAGGAACTAAAATATCTTTGAAGATGAGAAGGTGGATCGTTTTCTGAGTCTTCCAGACGCAACCCTGCACAGTGGGTAGAGCAACTACTTATGAGGCAGAATAGCATATGGTGGAAAAGTGTTTTCTAAAGGTATTGTCCAAAGATAAATTGTGGTCATCGCTGAAAATGTTTATGCACTGGTGGGAATTTGTGTTCACTGGGAGCATAAACAAACACACATAGTGAGAGGGAAAAAAACAACAAACATGATTGATTCAGCCTGAGGAATAGGTGCAACTATTTTGTAGATGGGTCATACACTTGCTTAGAGCAGACAACAAGAAGTACAGGATTGGCTGTTTTTTGCAGTTGTCTATGTGGTTTGTAAGTTATGTCTTGGCAGCAGTCAGCAGGTAGCAGCTGCTCTTGAATACATACCCCCTTGTTGGTTTTGAATTACTTTGGTGGATGTTAATAAGAACATAGTCCACGTGGATCCCCAAAAGTGCTCTTAGCCCATGTTGAGCTCTTTGCTGCTCTAAAGTCTGAAGCTTGTTTTGGAAAGCCCGTTCAGTCCTACCCATAATGTCATTAATGGAATTCCATGGGCACTTACAAAAATGCTTCACCATTGATCACTACTGACCTTGTCCAGTGCTGCCTGCACAACGGATTCACTCTCAGTGTCCAAAGCTGACGTTGCCTCATCAAGCAGAAGAATTTTAGGGTTGCGAACCAGAGCTCGGGCAATGGCTATTCTCTGCTTCTGGCCTCCACTCAGCTGTGCCCCTCTTTCTCCAACCACGGTCTCAAACTTCTACAAGACAACCACACACATTTCCAAAACATTCTGTGGCACAGTCCTTTCACCAAAGAAAGGCAGTGTAAAGAAAAGGCACATCAGTGTTGGGAACCCCGGCGGCACCTTCTCCTTCCTCTGAAACACTGCAGGAGAAACACCCGCTTGGCCAGAGCTGCCTCATTGTTTGTGGCCCTGGAATTTGAATAGTTCTTCAAATGCTCATCAAGCCACGACCTAAAGACTTAAAATTAACACTTTGGGAGATCAGTATATGGCTGTAGCATTTTTCATTACACTTGTGACATATAAGGACCATCAATGTTTTAGCTTTCAGTGGAAATTTCTTATAGTTACGTTTTATTTTAAAAGATAGGCTCCTAATTTAGTTAACCAACCTGTTTTGGCTAAAATGTGTTATCAATTCTAGATAAAAGCAAAGGTTTCCATTATTTCTAGGACTTTTTTTTTTTTTTTCACTATAGCAACCATTTTTCTCTAAGGTAATCAAGTTATCTTAAAAGAAATCTGCGTCACCTCCATGCATAATACCTTAATAGCTGGCCTAGCAGGATAATTGAATTAAACATTTTGGAATTTCAAATTACCCTTAGCATGGTTTGATTTATAGCCAGCATTGGACACACCATGAATTTAAAGTCTCTGTGCAGAACAACAGGTCAAGAAAAGGGGAAAAAGAATTGTTTAGATTTCAAATTACATTTCAGCACGGTACAGGGCTGTGAAATCTAAGACTTTACTATTACAATATAAAGGGTATTACCATAAAAAGGGGCACAGCAGGTCTCATTGCAAAGTAGCTGCAACTACTCATAGATGCATGAAGCTGCCAGTCCAGGTGGCTGGCAGACCTGCTGGTAGGGGTGAGTAACCAACGGAAACGCTCAGGGCCTTAAATCTTCACTGATATAAATTAAGGAACAGAGGGAGTAATCTAAAACATCAGTGAAAGGAAGGAGTAACCTACACTTTCACATTCAGCCATTGCATATTAACAGCAATTTGTGTTCATGATTATACTCCTTTAGGATGAGAGGAAATGGCCTCCAGCTGCACCGGGGGAGGTTTAAATGGGATATTTGGACAAATGTCTTCATTGCAAGGATTATCAAACATTGAACAGGCTGTCCAGGGAAGTAGTTGAATGGCCAACCCTGGAGGTATTTGAAAGACTGCAGGGGTGCTTAGGGACATGATTTAGTGGTGGACTTAGCAGCACTAGGCTAACAGTTGGACTCGATGATCTTAAAGGTCTTTTCTAATCTAAATTATTTTATTATTCTATTCTATGATTCCATATTTTATATATAGTATATAAATATCTACTCATATATTTATAAACTATACAAACGTTTTAGTATTTTTTAATATAGGACTTGAAAGTAGAAGTTACATTGCCAAATTTGCAGATGTAGTCACTGTAAAGGCAGTGATTTAAATTATTGATAGCTGAAAAGTAATCATTACTAATGAGCTGTGCATAGTTACAGAATATTAGAATGCTCTCTCAGTTGTTGTGTTGGGTTTTTTTTAAGAATGAAGATTGAAGTATGTTTATGTAGGCAACAATTTATTTTTCTTCTTTAACCTGGTCTTCTGAACTACTAGATAAAACAACTGATAGAAATTGGCATCTTCCTCACTTACTCGCTCACATTCCAGTCTTTAGATGCTTTTCCTGTACCCAAAATTGGTTTAAGGAGATTTTTTTAAATGTTATGGTATTGTACACCCAAATGCTAATTTTAGTTCAGATAATCGGTGCTTTTGGATGACAGACATGGTGAAGATACTCACATTATCTACAGTACTAAAGGTTGCATGGGTAGCTTCTCTTGCATTGGCAAAGGCCTCCATACTTGGTGCAGTCTGTCCAACACTGAAAGCTCCGAGTAATATAGAAAGAAAGACATAAGAGTAAAAAACCCACTGAAAACACTGCACCACAAAATACATAGCTAGGGATTCATCACTCTAACTAGGCTTTATTTATCTGGCAATATTAGCTATCATTGCCTGAAGTAGCTTTATGCATCCTGTGCACTATGAGGAAGCCTAGAATCAAAGCAGCAATGAACCAGTTGGCAATAATTTAAACAGAAAGTAAACGTTGGTAGGAAAAAAGGAGCCAAATTTCCTTCTTCCAAAACTGGACCATAAGAAGGGTATTGTAAGGTGCTGATGGCTGGGATTCTTTAGAGTGACAATAGAGAACTGAAGGACATTTCTAATTCCACCTGAACAAAAATTAGCCAACAGTTACTTTTGTTATTAAACACAGAAAAAAAAAATATCTCTTTATTTCTTCCTTTAATATGAAAAGAAGCGTAATTCAACCCAAAAGGTAAAGGTACAGTAATCCACTCCATTGTAATACTGGCAAGAACGGAACCAAAAATTTGAGGAAACTGGAAATTTCTTTGTCTGGAATTACATTGTTTGTCCCACCCGAAGCAGACTCTAATTCCTAATTAATTTTTTCAGCCTTGGCTCTGACTTTTTTGTACGTGGGTGTTTTTTCTGAACATACGCAACAGTGCCGCTCATTTCAGATGCTGGGAATAAAGGCTTGTTTGCATTTTATTCTAATCACATTTCAATATTAACTCAAGCTTACGTTACCATGCACAGTGCTAGTGTCCCAGGGGAGGTGGCAGTGAGCAGGGGGTGCTGGAAGGACCAGCAGCAATCCCTGCTCTGCACTCCTGCCTCTGGCCAGATGTGGCAGAATCACAGAATCACAGAATCTTCTAGGTTGGAAGGGACCTTAAAGATCATCTTGTCCAACCGTCAACCTCACTGACAAAAATAGACACCCACACAACAAACAAGGAGCATCATCACTAAACCAGACCTCCCAGCACTACATCAACCCGGCTTTTGAACACCTCCAGGGATGGGGCCTCAACCACCTCCCTGGGCAGCCCAGTCCAATGGCTGAGAACCCTTTCAGTGAAAAAATTTTTCCTAATATCCAGCCTGGCTGCAGGTCTTCCTGCTTTCCCAGCTCCATCATTTGCTTTCCCTGAGGACATGAGAGCAAAGCTCCTTCCCAGTTGCTCTCTGCACTGTGCTGGGAATACAAACTCACCTGCCTATCTTTGCCCTGAAGCAGATAAAACGTACTCACACGCTTAGTCACGAGCGGGACCAGAGAGTGGGCTGCTCCTCAAAGATCCTTAGGGATTAGCTAGAAACCCTGGTGCCTGAGGGTGATGGAGAGGGTGGCTCCAAGCTGACCTGCCACAGGTGTACACTCGTGTACACTGTACACCCCCAGGACCTGGGGGTGTTGGTGGCCTGTGGGCTGAACAGGAGCCAGCAGTGTGCCCAGGTGGCCAAGAAGGCCACCCTGAGAACCCTTTCAGTGAAAAAATTTTTCCTAATATCCAGCCTGGCTGCAGGTCTTCCTGCTTTCCCAGCTCCATCATTTGCTTTCCCTGAGGACATGAGAGCAAAGCTCCTTCCCAGTTGCTCTCTGCACTGTGCTGGGAATACAAACTCACCTGCCTGTCTTTGCCCTGAAGCAGATAAAACGTACTCACACGCTGAGTCACGAGCGGGACCAGAGAGTGGGCTGCTCCTCAAAGATCCTTAGGGATTAGCTAGAAACCCTGGTGCCTGAGGGTGATGGAGAGGGTGGCTCCAAGCTGACCTACCACAGGTGTACACTCGTGTACACTGTACACCCCCAGGACCTGGGGGTGTTGGTGGCCTGTGGGCTGAACATGAGCCAGCAGTGTGCCCAGGTGGCCAAAAAGGCCACCAGCATCCTGGCCTGTGTCAGGAACAGTGTGGGGAGTAGGGCCTGAGAGGTGATTGTCCCCCTGTACTGGGCACTGGTGAGGCCTCACCTTGAGTACTGTGTCCAGTTTTGGGCCAAAAAGATGGCAAGAATGATGTTCCATAGTGGAACACAAATAAACACATTGCATGACCTTGGTCTGTGACCTTAGCGTTATACTTGTCTTTTTTTTTTCCCCACTTGCCTGCCTTCTTTGCTTACAGCTCTCACTGGATTTATGAGGCCTGTAAGGACACGCACACTTTGTTCCACCCCTGCATGTTTTGTGGTGCTTTTTGAAATGAATAAAAAAAGAAAAGAAAAAATTCAGCAGCAAAGCTATAAAAAAAACCCAACCTTAAAACCTCTTTAGTCACCATTATAAAAACATCCAACATACGGATACTTTATTTTCACGTTTCAGTTTCTTTTCTCTGTCCTCCAAATGCTACCAGAGTTCAAAACGTTCCTCTGCAACAGCTCCTGCTCTTGCGTATCTAGTTAGCTCTTTGTTAATGAACACAGAAATTACCCGTGTAAAAGCAAGATGTTTTAACTCTCCCATTCAATCAATAACAGAATGAGCTGAAGCTTTGTTCTGATGTCTACAAATTCTAAATTTATTGGACTGAATTTCCAATCTGTTTTGTTTTATTTATAAAGACTTATAAAAGACTCCACATTTAACTTACAAGGCAGAAATTTGATGAAGGGCATCATGACAAAGCTTGATTGGCATACAATATATTAATTAAAAAGATGCATGCTAACTGCTACCAAAAAATGAGGTTGGATTTTCAGTTCTTCTTCTACTTCTCTACAGAAAGCTGGAGGAACTTCACTTAGAAATACTTGCACCACCACTGTCAAACAGCTCTGGTTTTTGTCAGGACATTCCATTTCCCAACAAGTACAGGAACGTTCATGCTCCTGATGCACTGCAGGCTGCAGAGGAAGCTGCAGCAGAGCACTTGTGCTGT